TCATTGCATTCATGGAATATTCTAGGACTTCGGTCCAGTGAAGCTATGACTTCATTCCAATGAAGTTAGGACTTCGGTCCAGTGAAGATGATAGGACGATTGTCTAGTGATGGAAACAATCCCATAATATGGATTGGGTGCAATAGTGAAGTGCTCTGGTTCCAAGCGGGAATCAATCCCATGGTGGGGATCTTTGGAGATAATGATGACTGAGTCATCAGTGAAGTTTTGGTTCCACATGCATGAGTCTATGACGTTGCAATACATTCTATATGACATTGCATAATGATTTATTTGTGATACTTGATGATACATTGTGTATGATGATATGTGTTCGTGTATTGATGAAGTGGTGAAGGTGTGAGTATAACATGACGATATGATGATGTGTGATGCCTTGTTTATGTGTATATTTACTATGTCTATTCCTTATGTCTTATATAATGATTATGATTTACTCACCCTTTCTGTTTGAATGTTGCCTCCACGTGGGTAACACGCAGGTGATCGAGAATAGTCCGTAGAAGCATTAGAGGATAGCTTTGAAGTGCATTTATTTGCTTTTGTTGAATAAATGAAGTCTTGCTCTGATATGTAACATTATGGTTGAGATCGAATGATTGGAACTTATGTTCTTTGTTTTGTTTTAAGATGTTGAGTCACCCTATGTGGTACTCGAGATGTTTTGATTTATAAGTATGAGTTATGAAGTATGACTAATTTTTATAAAGTACTATAATGAAGTGTTTTGAACTATGATTTCCGTTGCCATAATTCGAAGAACTAAAAGTTGATTGTATCTTGTTAAAGATTTTAAAAAACACGTGTTACGGAGCAGAATGTATTGTTTTGAAGTTTTATATGAAGATGTGACACCTATGTTTGGTGATATACTCTGATTTATTTATTAGAATAATTGTGAATATTCCTTAGGATTTAGAAGGGTGTTACAAGATTTTTATCACTTCCTTTAAGAAGTTAAAAATAGTAAGATGAAGATTAACTCTGAAATTGTAAGCAAGAAAATACAAGAGACGTTTGTCATGCCAAGTAAGCGTTTCCAGTTATTTCTCTCTTGGACAGAGATTTTCCAATAGAAGTTGAAACCAATTTTTTATAATTGGGAGTAGATAAACGGGACTGGTGGGCTTATCTTGGTTGACATAAATTAGATGGAGGCAAATTGAGTAGACATTGTTGAATTTATAGTGTTTAACACAACTACCAAACTCTTCACAGTTTATTGTGTCATCAATAAATGATGGAGTAATGAAGAAATAAGAGTCATTGACATAGGAATGAATGACTTCATCATGACCAACTGACACAACAGAGGATTTAACCAGAACTCTTTAATAAGATTAGTGTAGATAAGGTCACGAAGAATGTGAAAGTAATCATTCGACCTTTGTTTGGAAACAACTTTCCTTAGAACAAAACCATCGAAATCATTGAAATAAAAAAAAATCATTGATAACTAATAAAAGATTTGTATTCATTTTTGAATAAAAAAGACTTTGAAACAAGGAAATAAGACACAAAGAGTTTGAAATGATACGTTAAAAATAGGAAAAGACTTTGAAACAAAGTTTGAAGATACAAAGAGTTGGAAATGAGACGTTTAAATAGCTCAAAAGTCTCCTTTAAAATCTAAAAGATACGTTACGATTTGAATATAAATGATCATTATTATTCTAGTGATATGATTCTAATGTATGCGCGGCACGTTTTAGAAATAAAACAACATCTTACCTCGAATTTTATCATAGCCGATGGAAAAACAATATAGAAACCTCTCTTTTTATTATTATTTCTATTTGTAACCTAAATGATCTATCTCGTCGGTTTTCAAAATAACCGACAGATAGATAACCATATTTTACTATAAAATTACTTCTTAAATAGATTTTATCCTAATCATAACTCGTACGGATCATTTTTTGGCGTAAATGCTTATCATTTCTTATAAGATGGAACTTAATAAGCTTGTAAAAGAACTTAAAATACTTATGATGGATTGCAAGTGCAGAAAAACATTTTTAAATGGTTGGAATATATATATATATATCTCTCCTTTAGAAATTAGATGAATTCAATCCATATAACATTTTCCATTGTTTGGAGTAGATAACTCGTTACAACAAATATTTATTGTTATTCAATAATCTGGATTTGTTGTAATATTGTGTTTTAATATTATATGTAAACAATGTAATGCAAAAAAAGAATCACCTCGGTTATCCTAAAAATTGAGGAGATAATTTAACGTTAAAATTGAGGATATTTATCACCGTCTTTAATCAAATTTTTGCCATTTATTTCATGACTATCAACGCTCATGACACTACCATTAATGATCCGTGTGAAAAATAAATAACTTCCATTATAAAATTCTTCTAAATATCAAAAATTGATAATGAAATATCATGAAGCGCTTGAAACTATCCTCCACTTTAAAGTTTTCAAGAGTGTTTGTCATGAAGAGTTCTCTATGATGGATTGCAAGAGCAGAAAACTATTTGGGTTTAAGGTTTATGTTCTTAAACATTTATTTGTGCGGAAAATTAATTATTTTTCTAACTCTTTTTTTATCTAACCTTTTTTTTTGTTTATATCAGGAATAAATGCAAGCAAAAGTAATTGAAAATATCTTGACACCCATAATTTGTATTTGCCTAGAATATCAAAGATTTGAAGATCCAACATATGATCTTCATGGACAAATTAATTTTTATTTTATTATTCTGTGTAAACAATATAATATTCTGGATAAACATTATAGTTTGTAAATAAATTATTTTATTATTTTTTTGTGTAAACAATGTAACGAGTTTTAATTAAATAATCTAACTTACCTCTCGATTTTATAGATAAATTGAGATATATGAGGCACTAGTTTTGTAAATGATAAAATTACAGAGGATGGAGTTCAAACCCATACGCAAATAAATTTACCCTTAGGTGTTTTAATAATCGAGGTGTTAAGTGATTACTTTTCATGAAGCTCTTTGTTACCTTGCTTCTTTATCTAAGATAAAATATATTTCGAGTCCGAGGTTAAAAGTGCTTTTTGTAGTTGTGAGTTCACAAGAAATATATATATATGTGTCTGTGTCTAGTCTTTTCATTATTTTCCATTTCCTTAACTGAAGCATTTACTTTTCCTGTCTTAATTTTTATCTTTATTTAATGTCATTTACTGCACTTTATTTCATCGTCATTTATCAAAACTTGTCTTCATTTAAACTTTGTCTTGGCGCCGTCTTCGTACAAACGGCTGCACTCAAATCACACACACGTGTTTTCATATAAGTTATTTGCACAAATTACTTTGGAGATTTTTCGAGTAAACCTCACTACCTTTATTAAATTCGTGATTGATTACCAAAAATACCGATAATCAAAATGAAGATGTTATAAAGAATGCTCGACGAGTTTGTTTGATGGACCCAATGACATTCATCACAGGTTACTCCAAGGTTGCACAACGTGCAAGATCAAATCATATTAAACCTTGCCCAAGACTGAACCAACAATTTAATCCTCATTTCTCTTCTTCTTTTAACATGTTTGAGTTTAAAATAGGCTAACCCAACCATAGTGATGGTGTAGGTGTTGAATAGGATTGACAATAAATTGAACCAGCTCTAACATAGTTTGAAATTCGATTCAACAACTAAATTGTTAAACTAAATTCGTGAATTAAATAGTTGGATATGAGAAAAAAAACTAAATTCGTTAACTAAATAAGATAAACTTAAACTATATATAGTTTGATTCATTATGTTCATGAGTCAACTTGATTTTATATATATATATATATATATATATATATATATATATATATATATATATATATATATATATATATATATATATATATATATATATATATATATATATATATATATATATATATATATATATATATATATATATATATATATATATATATATATATATATATATATATATATATATATATATATATATATATATATATACGCGCGCGCGCACGCGCACACAAAGGGTTATATTATTCTAAGAGTGGATTTAAATACTTACTCTAAATCTAAATCCTATATTTTATTTTAATTTATCAATTTCAATTAATCATTTATATTGTCAAGTAAGCAAAATAGTCTAAAATAATTATATAAATAAAATTAATATTATATAAATATTATATACACTAAATAAATATTAAATTTATATATTAAATAAAATAATTAAATCAAAATTCTATATAATGATTAATATTATATGCGTACAAACTACTCTGATTTTTCAAAAATACTTAGATTAAAATTCCTATATCAAAATTTATATGAGTGCACTTTATTTTTATTAAAATAAATTTTATATAATAAAAATTGTTCCATGATTAAAAAATACTAATTTAACATGTCAAATATAAAAAAAAAATAAAAACTTAAAAAAAATTAAGTTCGTTAAACAATCAAGCTAAATCTAACGAATTCAATTTAACGAATTAAACTAAATTATTTATAAATTTAAAATGAGTCGAATTTGAATTTAAAAAAATTATGATTAATTTAAATTGAATTATAAGTTGAAGTAATTTTTATTGAGTCGAATCGAGTTTAAGCAAGCTCTACTGTACTTGAATTATTTTTAATTCAAATATTGAATAATTACACAAATTTAAATACATAATTAATTTTTTTAAATAAATAATCAAATAATTGCAGTTATTAATTATACACAAGAACTACTTGTAGATGTAACACGGCAATAAACTAATAAAAAAGTCAAAGTTGTAGTACAAATAATACAACGTACTACAGTGTAGTAGAATATTATTATTGTACTAACTCATGTAATAGTACTATTTCTCCATTTCTCTGGTATTTAGAAGTACCATTTCTAATTAATTAATTAGCAAATACACTAGCATATTGACATGAAAATGAAATACTACAAAAAGGAACCAGTTAAAAAAAAGCACGCACAGAAAAATACAGTACAACGTTACATACATGGCTTTCTCCAAAACCAAAACCCTAAAGTCAACGTTCCTTATTTTGTGTCTCTTAGCCTCCTACTTTTCCTATCCAATCAAAGCTCATGGAGGAGGACACGACGATGATGATGATTCCGACCATTCAGCTTCTTCCGACAACATAAACATACGTTCAAAGAGTTTAATCCTAGTGAAAATATGGTGTTTGATAATCTTATTTGTGTCCACTTTCTTAGGTGGTGTGTCACCTTATTACTTCCGTTGGAACGAGGTTTTTCTTGTCTTGGGAACTCAGTTTGCTGGTGGTGTTTTTCTCGGAACATCTATGATGCATTTCTTGAGTGATTCAAATGAAACTTTTGGAGATCTTACAACGAAGACTTATCCTTTCGCTTTCATGTTGGCTTGTTGTGGTTATCTTTTCACCATGTTTGGTGATTGTGTGGTGGTTTATGTAACGAGTAGTAATCAGAGGGAAGCTAAAGTTGAGGAACTTGAAGGAGGGAGAACACCTCAGGAACATGAAGAGAACACTGAGTTGGCGATGGATTCGAGTAATGTGGCGTTCATGAAGACTTCGAATGTGGGAGATACCATTTTGCTTATTCTTGCCCTTTGTTTTCATTCTGTGTTTGAAGGCATCGCTGTTGGAATTTCAGGTTTGAATATCTCTCTCTTTCCTAAGAAAGCCAAAACAATTTAATCTAATTATGAATAACTTACCTATTTATAATATATTGTCAAATGAATGTTCGCACTTATCGATATTCAAATGTGCTCTCAAGATTCAAGTCTTCACTATTAAGTCAATCTCCAGGGTTTATATTAATTTGAATCTAACATAAATAATAGCTTAATTTCTTTAAACTAGTACTAATAATATAACATTATGATCAGGTACTAAAGCAGAAGCATGGAGGAATTTATGGACAATATCATTACACAAGATATTTGCTGCCATAGCAATGGGAATAGCATTGCTTAGAATGTTACCAAAAAGACCCTTAGTAACAACAGCAGCATATTCATTTGCATTTGCTATCTCTAGCCCTATTGGTGTAGGAATTGGAATTGCAATAGATGCAACAACAGAAGGAAGCACAGCAGATTGGATGTATGCTATATCTATGGGAATTGCTTGTGGTGTTTTTGTCTATGTTGCTATCAATCATTTGATATCTAAAGGCTTCAAAACTCAAAGGAAGACCCGTTTTGAATCTCCTTGGTTTAAGTTTCTTGCTGTTCTTTTTGGTGTTGCTGTGATTGCAGTTGTCATGATTTGGGACTGATGATATCATTATCGTCTTCCTGTTTTTTCATGATTATTCATTGTTTGTTTCTCCATATTATGTATATGTGTGTGCTTGTTTGTGCAATATTAATGTTCTATATTTGCAAAAGCCAATGTTTATTGGAACTTTCATGTATAATAAATCCATTCGTTTCATGTTATAAGTACATTTAGTTTCTGAAGATATATAATTGTTACTTGGAAACAATAGTTTTTTTTAGGCAAAATACCCTTTTTAGTCCTTTAAGTTTACCCTAAGGTCCATTTTGGTCCTTTATCTAAAAAAAGTGTCAAACTGGTCCTATAATTCTTTCAAAAGGACCATAGGAGTTCTTTCCGTCCATTTTGGGCCTTTTTGGTTCATTGGAGAAGCTGCAAAATGAGCTTTATGGAGCAAAGATGGAGATACATCATCTAAAGGAAAGGGAGGATGGGCTGAAACATAAGATAATGGAGTTACAAATTGAAATAAAGAAGGATGGGCTGAACCAAAAAGGACCAAAATGGACGGAAATGACTCCTATGGTCCTTTTGAAAGAATTATAGGACCAGTTTGACACTTTTTTTAGATAAAGGACCAAAATGGACCTTGGGGTAAACTTAAAGGACTAAAAAGGGTATTTTGCCTTTTTTTTTAATAGGCAAATTCTATTAAAAGAAAGTATAAGGGATATTTTACACCCGAACAATACAAAGAAAATGCCTAACTCCGGAAACAAAAGAGCGGGATAGTGTTCCAAAACAAGAAATTACAACAAATTTTTAAATTACAAAAAATCATAAATCAATGCCAAGACCTAAAAACAATCTCCGTGAAACAATCATCGAAATTTAGATCATCACCCTTAAAGATTATGGCGTTCCACATTGTTAGGTACCGACAATAACAAATAAATTTAAGACAAAAGGATAGAAGCTGATAGAAATTAATGGCTATTATTGTATGATGGTAAGAAGATTTACAGAAGATTCAATGACCTAACTGCCACAGAGCTCGGCTCATATGGAGTGCTTAACAGCCCCCCATCCAATGATTGATAAATGAATCTTCTAGCGTTGTTGGCTCTTAAATTCGACACCCTTGTTTCATTAATATCAGCCATTAAAGCTGAAGGATGTTTTCGATCAGCTGGGTCTGTCGAAATGACCATCGAAAGATGATAATGTACTCAGAAGATTTCTTCCAAGGGAGAAGTTGGTTGCCTTCGACGTCGAAGGTGTTTCTCGTCGAAGATGCTTCTCGACGAAGATGTTCGATGGTTCAGAGTGGAACGGTTTGAAATTCAAGCGTTTGGAGGGAAAACGGTTTCCAGCGGTTACCAAGTGCAACGTGCAAAGATCTGGAGCGTCGAACGTTGAGAACGTGCCAAGTGGAATCATCTCGAAGCAGTGTAACTGCCCGACGGTTACTTGGGATGTTTTAGTATAAATAGTAGTAGTTCACGCAGTTTCTCGCGTGTGTTCACAATTATATACAAAGTCACTCATATAGATTCGAGTACCCAGCGTGTGAGAAAGAATTGTTGAGAATGTATGTGTGAAACACCATTTTTATTAATCAAAGTCATTTACTTTTCCAGAAACTTTACTTGCTTTCTTCTTTACTTTTCCTGTCGAAGCCCTTTATTTCAAGCCTCCATTTATTTTATCAAAGTCTTTCTTCATGCAATTTACTTAAAGCCTCTTTACTTTATTGTCATTTAACCATTATCCAACTTAATCAAAACCTCAAAATCAACCTATGTCTTAGGATCAATCTGATCGATCCTGCGAGTAACCAAATAAGTAACCATTTGGAGGATCAGCGGTTGTTTACCAATAACAACGGTAAACAAATTGGCACACCTGGTGGGACTGTGTGTTGATTTTTGAAAATAATCTCATCTTTTCGAGGAGTGTTGCATGTTATTGAGAAGTGGTATAATATACACTAACGATACCAATACTGCCAGAAGAAGGGAAGAGATGGCGAATCCGCCAAACAATAACGAAATCCCACAAACGAATGTGGGAGCAACGGTTATCCCGACCGTAAGTGAAGCGATAACCGCTGGTTCAACACCAGCAGTAACGGTCACAGCAACGGGGCCATTACCTTCGTTCACAGGCCCCAGAGTGCCTTTGGGAACTCCCCCACCAAGGGGAAATTTAGGCACAAGGCCTTTTGTTCCCCCAGGATTTATGACAGGCGGTCATAATCGAGAACCACTCTATGGCATGCCAACTTCTGACTTGGCTAGCCTGACGAATGTTGCGTCCACTTTTTCAGACCCTTTAGTGAGTGCCTCTTCGCCACTCCAAGGTTCTGGAGTAGGTATGGCGAATAGAAATAGGACCCAACTCTTAGGAGGAACGTCCCAAGTAGCACATGGCCTTACAAATGCCTCGACAGCAGTCTTGAGGCAACAAATGGACGAAAGCAACCATGATATGGTTCAAATATTGGCACAAACTTTAAGTACAGTGCTGAACCCTCTAATATAAAACACTACTCAATCGAATCAGCAGATGACAGCGCAAATGACGCGTTTGGCTGATTTCTTTGGAGTACCCCAACCTATTCGACAGCCCCAAAGGGCGCAAATAAGTGGAAACCAGGGTGTATTCTTAGAGGAAGAAACCACCATCAACCAGGTCCAACAGCCTGTCGAAGAAAACCTTAGGGCACGATTGGAGCAACCTGTCGAGGAACCTAGGGTAATAACCCCAGAGGTAAGGTTAGTTAATAGAAACCAAAATGCTGACGAAGTAGTTCAGCATATCCAATACCAAAACATGGGTTTGGAAAATAATCTGGCAACCATGATCGAAAGGATCATGACTCAAAATGGGATGAACATGGGCTTTCGAAGGCCCAACTTTACATCCCCGTTGTCAGAATACGTGTTACAAACAGACTTACCTCCTAGATGTAAAGTCCCCAAATTCACTAAGTTCTCTGGGGACACGACATAATCTACTGTCGAGCATGTGGCGAGATACTTGATCGAAGCAGGAGATATTTCGAACAACGAAAACCTGAGGATTAAGTACTTCCCAAGTTCTTTAACAAAGAATGCTTTTACTTGGTTTACAACTCTCCCCCCCAATTCGATCCATCATTGGACCCAGTTAGAAAGATTGTTCCACGAGCAATTCTACATGGGGCAAACCAAGATAAGCCTGAAAGAATTGGCCAGTGTAAAGAGACGTTTCACTGAACCTATAGACGAATATCTAAATAGGTTTAGGTTGCTCAAAGCAAGATGTTTTACACAAGTGCCGGAACATGAGTTAGTCGAAATAGCCGCAGGCGGTTTAGATTATTCCATTAGGAAGAAGTTAGACACTCAATACCTGAGAGACATGGCCCAACTGGCCGATAGAGTTCGACAGGTAGAACGCCTCAAAGCTGAAAAGGCAAAGGCAACGAAAACTCATAAGAGAGAGAGGATAGCGTATGTTGATATGGATGACGAAGATCCAGAATCCTTCGACGATACTATAACTGTCGAAGAAGGAGAAGTCGATTTAGCGGAACTAAAACAAGGGCCACCATACTCTTGCAAACTGTTAGTCCCCTCAAGTGGGAAAAATCCCATTGGTCCAGAAAGGACCAACGATAGGTTCCCCAAAAAGACTTATAGTTTTGACATTACAAAATGTGATGAGATATTTGACTTGCTTGTAAAAGATGGCCAAATGATAGTACCCCCAGGGGTAAAAGTGCCTCCTCTTGATCAAAGAAAGAAGAGAGGCTTTTGCAAATATCATAATTTTTTGGGACATAAAACTTCTCAATATTTTCTTTTCAGGAATCTTGTGCAAGACGCTATCGAAGAAGGGAGGTTGAAGTTTGCTGACAAAACCCCCATGGCTGTCGACTCAAATCCGTTGCAGGCTGAAGCCCACTATGCTGAGCCTTCTGAGGTGAACGTGATCGAGGCATCCAGGAGCCAGTCGAAGAGGCCAGGAATCACAATGGTCGAAGTCTCAAAGGACCATATCAACATGCCAATCTTTGGCAGTTTTTCTGGGAATTTATCCAGAAAGACAATTGAAGCGGTTCAGAAAGCGGTCGAAAGCCCAAAGCTGGAGACCGTTGAAGCACAAAAAACTGGACCAAAACCCAGTTCTCACTTGGCCACAGTTCAAGGCCAGACGGAGAATTTGGAGATTCAAATGAAGCAGTTGACTCTTGCAAACAAAGATACGATGAATTTCAACATGGTCGAACTCTCTGACCCAAAAGCATCAGAGGAGCCCATGAGGCAAGAACAAGCTAACAAGACTGCTTTCCCTCGGGAAAATGAAAATCTGGCAGATTTCCTGCAAAGATGCCAGAAAAAGAAGTCAGAGGTGATGCTGTGTCCAAGATGCAGTTCGATCTTTGACAAAAAAGCTGCTGAGCATATTCAAGGCGTAAGAGCAGCAAATAAGAGAAGGGAAAATGTTGATCTTCGACATGACCCCAGAAGAGCCTCCCAAAGAGGTTCGAATCAAGAAAAGAGGCCGTTGACTTTCAGGCCTCCAACTAATGTGCCAGTAGATACCTGGTACAAGACATCTGGTCGAAAGAGGCCAAGCGAGGAGAGATGGCACTCTTTCGACGTGCCAAGGGGTTCATCTTTAACACAAAAGAAAGAGCCTCAAGTTGCTGCACCTAAAATTGCACAAGTGTCAAGCAACTACAAAGGGAAAAATCCCATGTCTCGATCTCAATGGAGGAGATACCAAAGGAGACGAAAAGCTGAGAGGGAGGCTGCCAATGAACCAAAGGCAGAAACCAGTTCGAATGTTCCTCTAAGGAAGCAAAGGAAACCTCTGGAAAGAGAGCCAGTAACCAACAGGCTAGTTTGGCCTAACCAAGGTGAAATTAAGGACGAAGATGGTTCTGAGTCTGATGATACTTTGGACATCATGGTGAATATAGTCTCAGTGCTGCCCAGAGAATTCAACCGACAGGTGGAGGTCGAAACAAGTGACTGGGAAGTGGAGCAAGAAATGGACAAACATAGG